CGTCTCGCGTTTCCAAGTCTCTTGGGGCTAGCTCTCCAGGATGCACTTAGGTCTAGACCTCTGATTGCCACTCACGATCCTAGGGTACTTGGTCTTTTGAAAATGTTCCAACCTAGGTCAACGTATAAATTACTCTAACTCGGGAGCCTTAATCTCAGCTGAGATCACTTATGCATACTTTACTAGGGAGATACTCTTACCGATCACCTTAAATATGAAAAACATATTTTATTCATTCATATATGCTTATTAGGGAGATAATCTTATCAATCACCTAATACACAGAAATCATAAATCATAAATCATACATTCAAACAAGCTTAATGGGGAGATAACATCCAAAGCACAAATCATAATATCTCATCTTCCATTCTAATACAACGAAAAGTATTAAAATAAGCATGCAACTGAATTTTGGGTATTTTCATAATTTAATCATATATATTGTTCTCGGTAACTTGTCCTAGCGATCCGTGCAAGCATTCGATCTAAAATTTGTATGGTTATATTTCTCTCTCTCTAGGGTTTTATGGGCCAAGTTTAATGGGCTTTTAGGCCCAATAATTTCTTTGGCTCATTTTTTCTAAAACGGGTTTTCACTCATTTAGACCTCGAATTTTCCTATCGATTTAGTTCAACTCGATATTGATATGACCAAAAATCATAGATAAAAGCAAAAAATGTTACCTCCCGATCTAAATTTCAATATCAATATGAATTTAGCTCCCATTACTTGCACACAATTAAGATTTATTCAATAATTAAAAGCCATAGAAATCACAAAGTACAATAACTTTAGACACACTATAAGTGTTCTAAACACATATTTAAAGGTAATTAAAAAAGTTGATCATATCTAAATTTGATCAAAACTTAGAGAGAATTGATTATTTCTCAGACTGAAATAAATCCACAACTTTGCAAAGAACGTCATCCCATATTGAAACCTTCGGAACAGCAACATCGGAGTTCTCAAAATCTGTCTGAAAAAACTCAGTTCTGCCATGTGGGCTCTCAATCAAAGCCTCAGCCAAAGCACTGTTTTGCAGCTTGTAACAAGTTCTCCACGTCAATCTAATTGGCTTTGTCCCTGCAGGAAGATGCTCAAAGCCCTTAACAATGACAAGCAAACACAAGGCCTCAAACATCTTAGGATGAATCGAAGACATTGTAATGTTGGGAAAAACATTGAAATACAATGGCCCATTACATAATTTCGCTTCCACCGTTCCCAAAATTGAGTCTTCGAACTTTTCGGTTCGAGTGTCGAAAACGCATAGAGTAATCGAAGCGTTTAAGGGTATTTTTTTTCTTGAAGCTTTGGCTCCAATTTGGATCATCCCCACGTTGAACATGCTGTAGAATCTTTTGCTTCGGAGGTTAGCCATGAAGGGGGTTTCAAGGATTAAGCTGGTAGCTTGGGTGCCATTGCCACAAGCCATTTCCATTTCTTTGGTTTTGATGGATGGATCAGACAAGAAATTGAATGGATTTGTTTTGTAGATTTTCGATGTGGGAACTTTTGGGATCTTCCAATTCAATAGATTGTTGCCTTTTTTGATGAATTCTTCGTTGTCTAAAGCATGCCTTTGTCCTCCTCCTCTTGTCTTTGAACTCCAACAGGGTTTGAGAAAAGTTGCCATTTTTTTTTTTTTGATATGGCAAAAGGTAAGAAATGGGGTATTAGATTTGGTTTTTGATGGGCTATGGGTATGCCATGGAAGAGGGCAATGGCTTTATAAAGACTTGAATGTTGTGTGTTCTTGAGTGTGTTCTTGAGTGATAGAGATAAGATTGAAAAGTATGCAAGAGGGGACAAATTAAATTGTAGAGCAAGTTTTTGAGTTAATGATTTGTGATGTCATCATTTTATAGAAAAGAAAAGAAAAGATGTTTTGTCATGCATGGTATGAAATTAGTTTTTGATTTAAAACTCTCCCTTTTCGATCTAAAAAAATATTCTCGGAAAAAGAATTTGTGAGATCTCACCTCGATTGAGGAGGAGAACGAAGCATTTTTTATAAGAGTGTGAAAAACGACCCCTAATAGATGCGTTTACAAACCCAATAAAGACAATATCGACTGGCGATGGACTTGGACTGTTACAGAATTTATGTAAAATTTTACGAGTCACAAGTCAAGTATAATAAAATAGGTAATATCTATCAATAATATCAGAAATCTAGAATTTTTAGCTCATGGGTCGATCGTTTTTCTATGAATGTGTTAGAAACTACGATCCACAGTTTAGTTTGATACCATGTTAGGAATCACAGATCTTCACAATAATATGATATTGTTCATTTTGAGCATAAGCTCTCGTGGCTTTGTTTTTTGTTTCCCCAAAATGACTCGTACCAATAGAGATGTATTCTTTACTTATAAACTCCAGATCATCTCCTAATACTCTCTTCCAATAATCCTGAACATACGTGACCCACAAATAAAGACTTCCTTGTCTTTTAAGTTCCATTGAAATGGAAATATTTAGAAAAGTTTTGAGGGTTTTGTTTTTCCACATACTTTTGTTTGTTTGGTCTTGTGATAGTGTGAAGGAACTCTCTTCGAAAGTGTAAGGAAATGAAAGCTTGGAACCAAATGGATTATTGGGTTCTATGGTCCAACATCATTATAGCCATTTACGATCATATTCCATATCAAATTTACATAAAACTTAGATGATTCACTGATCCGATTCGTGCACGCTACCATCACAGATGAAGCTGCTACCACTAGAGGTTCTTCGTTGGGTTCATGTGCAATTGTGGTTGCACGTAGACATGTGTATGGATAAAAATATCGATAGAAATTTAGAAGACAATCATCAACTTTAGTTTAAGCTAAGGATGTGGGACATTACCATTGTTATGATTGAACTACTTTAGCTTGTTGACGAAGGTTAGCCACTTGGTTGGTGAAGTTGTCCATTCATGGGGCTACTAAAATAAAGAAGACCCATGAATAAAGAAATAACCCTACCTCTTCCTTTTCTTTTCTTTTTTCTTGTTGATTTTTCCTTTTTTTAAGATTCTTTCTTAGGGTCTTTCCACGAACCTACAATGATATGTAGTATGGATTCTTTCTTAGGGTCTTTCCACGAACCTACAATGATATGTAGTATGATTATGCATTATTGACTAAAAGATGCTTTTAAAAGTGTTCATATGACTCGACAACTCGTTCTATGCAGACTACCTATGACACACTATCAATTCGACTCAAGGTTTGGTGCTAATAGAAGTAGTAGACTCTCCTAGTAGCGAAGGAAAATGACATGGCTTTTTTTCGTCGTAATAGTGGGCAGGTCTCATGAAATCTATGTCGACCATTAGAATCAAATTTAGGTCATAGTAGAGGCGCATAACGGCACCATTCTTAGACATAGCAGCAGATGGGCAGGCTGGGCCTAAATTCAAACCAGGCACTTCTTTGTTTGAGCTCCTCCCATGCAGGCCGATCGAAAGATCTTGTCCTAGACTGGGTAGAGATTCTCGTAAGATAGGAGAGGGAGTAAGGTTGGGTTGGGTTACATTTTCTTCTTCAGATTGAGTCAAGCAACCCAACCTAACCCAAGATAGAGTTACAATCTAACTCAACTCTATTTTTAAAAAGAATAAGAGTATTTAACGTTTTATAATCGATGTTAGTGATGTATTGTGACTTATAAATGTTCGATATTTAAATTTTATAAGATTTTAGTAAATAATATAACATGTATTATGGATAAGTAAAATTTTTAAATAATTAAAAAAAGAAAAATCTAACCTACCTCAACTCGACCAATTGAGTTGAGTATGAATTTTATTCGGATTATTCGAGTCAGCAATCCAACCAACTCAAAATTTCAAATTTAATCTATGTGCCCTAACCGCGACTTATAAAATTTAAACCATCTAAACCCGTCCATCACCATAATAAAGAATTCCAAATGGGTAAGTTCGTGGAAAATGCTACCACCTTTTGGTCTTTATTCCAACCCTTCATCTACAAGTTAGACAAAAAGGGTATAGAGAGCCCACATATCCACAATCATGATATAAGAGAATTCAAGTTCACATTTATACATTCAAATTACAATATATATATATATATATAAGAATTTCAAAAATTAAATTTAAAAAGAAATTAAAAGAGGAATACCTGAAACCGGCTGCCGAATGAGACTAATCTTGAGGATAGGATGACTACAAAAATGTTTAAAGAAAAATTAAAGTTATAGCCGGTACTAACAAGATACCTAGATACCTAGAAACTTTAAGATTAAGTGTTACTGTGTTGAAATAATTATTTAAGATATTAGAAAAAAAATATAAAAATCTATTATTAATATTATAATAAAAAGTTGGAAGATCTTTCCACGAACCTATTTCCCCTCAAAAGTAAAGAAGAATTATAGAGTGATTATTAAAGAGTTTTGAAGAATTATAGAGTGATTATTGAAGAGTGATGAAGTCATCGAAGTGATGTATGAGTTTGAAAGTTATCCCATTCTCTTTCTTTTAGAGCGATTTAGAGCGATTCTAATGATAGGATAACTAAGAAAATGTAAATGCTTAACCGAAATGATACCAACAAAGTGTACATTTTATTTCGGTGGCTCAATCATAGAAACTTTGACCTTCTATAAATTTTCCTGAGATGTATGTGAGTAAAGACAAAGCATGCTAGATGACTCATGTTGATCGGTAGGGATAGCAAGAAGTAAGTAACGTGATCATGTCGCAGGAAATACTGAGACTACCAGGTGATAAATCCGAATTCCAATTCCTAAACATGGGTCGTTACAAGTAGAGTCACTTATTTTTCAGTTAAAAACATGAACACGAAAATACTAGCCTAAGTATGCAGAGTCCATATGAATGGCGAGTATGATGGGCAAATAAGATCAGGCTTTTTTGCGGTCGCCGCCCATATTATATCATTATGAGAGAGATTCACAAACTTTCATTTATTACAAACACAAATCCATTATTCCATCTCATCCCATTTGGCTAACAGAGTAATAATATATACACATGCAGAATTCATAAAGTTCGAACACAACACAGAGGGAGCCCAAAAAGAGCACAAATTTCAGACACAAAAACACAAACAATAGACACATAGGTCAAAAGAACACATCTGCCATCTCATGCCACCAAGTAGGAGTGTTAACAGGCAGGGAACGACATCGAGATGGATCATAACTTAAGCGTAAAAGAATTCTGTCACCTAGTACGATTTAGAACATGGCGTCGGCCAGTTTTCGGGCAGCTGAACTTCATTCCACACAGTAACTCCTTGCTCAAAATCATTCATAGCAGTCTCAAAATCAGTCTGAAAAAAGATTGTTTTTCCATTTGAAGGAGTCTTAAGCAAAACTCGTGTCTCAACTCCAGGTTTAAGGACTTTGTAACAAACTCTATACATCACCACAATGTTCTTGGGACCTTCAGGGAGCTGCTCAAACTCTCTAACTTTAGCATTCAAAAACAACAAATCATCCAGCCGAGGGGCAGAAAGAGATTCCACAATGTTAGGGAAGACATTGAAGTAAAGAGGGCCATCTTTCAAATTGGCCTCCACCATCCCCAAAAGGGAATCTTGTAAATTGCGATGCCTTGCATCTCTAAGGCACAAAAGCACTTTGGCATTCAAGGGTCCTCTTGTTAAGGCCTTGACTCCAATTTGAACCATTCCAATGTGAATTGTGCGGTACTTGTTTTGGAGATGCCATAAGTCATCGTCTTCACGAATCAAGTTTAGATATCCACCGCCTTTGCTTAGAGGGCTATTCCCTTCTTTGGTTTTGAGAAGGGAATTACGAGAAAAGTGAGTGAAGAGGTTTGTTTTGTAGATTTTGGAAGTGGGAAGAGTTGGGATGTTCCAGGTTAAAAGATCATCTTTGCCTTTCTCCACTATATCATATTCATCGTTGTCTAAAGTGTGGGATGAGGCTGATTTGGAACATGAACTTCTTCTCCTTCCACATGCCATTTTTGGAAGAGCTGAAATGGGGATTTTGTGTTGAAGATCAAGTGTGTTTTGGGGGTTGGGAAGGAGTTTATGAACATTTTTGTGGAAGAAGATGAGAATTTATAGTAGTGGGATAGTTCTCTCAAAAGATGAACAAGAAAAAGGAAAATTTAAACAGTCTTTCATAAGAAAAAGTTCACAAAGTTGATCAAAAGATGAAAGGAAAATAAAGTTCCGTCTTTATTTGGATGTCTTTTTTTGGATGGGAGATTGATTGGAGTCTCACATGGGGGAAGATCATGGGTATACAAGTAAGAGACACTATCTTAATTGGTAAAGACCTTTTGGGCCAAATCAAAAGCAAAACTATAAAAGCTTATACTCAAAGTAGGCAATATAATACCACTATGGAGATCCGTTGTTTCTAACATGGTATCAAAACTATGTCTTTATCGTAACTTAGTCATGCTAATAGAATCTTCAAGTGTCGAACAAAAAAGTTGTGAGCCTTGAAAGTGTAGTCATAGTGACTCAGGTGTCGAACAAAGAGTATACTTTGTTCGAGGGTTGTAGAAAGGAGGTTATATAGTGTACTTTGTTCGAAGGGAGGATTGTTGAGAATGGGTTGGAATCCTACATTAGGAAAAAGATCATGGGTATAGAAAGCTTAGGCTTAAATAAAAAATATCAGAAAGTTTCAATAATACTCCCTTCTCGTCAACCAAAAATATTGATTGATTAGAGAGAGAAAAAATCAGAAGATGACAAGCTTTGAACTTCTCATGCAAGTTTCACTGCACACATGATGTGTATAATTTGGGACCCAGAAGTGTTCTGTGGGACATCATTTCTAGAGTACCATTTTCTCATAGTGAAAGAATCTTTGTTTTCTATTGCTTTTATCTTCATCTTTTGGTTCTCTTTTCTCTATGAAAAAAGAGTGCTAGGATCTTTCCAGGAACTTGTCAAGCCATTTGCAAGAACCTTACTTGAACATTCAACAGACTGATAAACCCTGGAAGAAGCCAAACAGGCCCCTTTTTCATTTCTTAAAACTTCACTTTTGCATTCAGCCCTTGAGAAACCACCATTTAGAAGTACCTTTTAGTTTGAAGGGAGCATTTGAGGTATGAATTTAAAAGGTTTAGAGGTCAGAACTAAGAAAAAAAATATGTTTCCAATCAAAGTTCAGAAGCCTCAAGTTTACACAAACTATGTTCGGAAGCTGGTTACATAAGGTCGAGTTTAGAAGAAACGTTGTGAAAGAAGTTTAAGTAGTGAATCAATGTTTCCTGATATCTCCAACAAAACCCGAGTTTGGCAAATCTTCTCCAAACATGAGTTCGACTTAGGAGTGTGGGTTTCCATGGACGTGTCTGACACGTGTTCATGGACATTCGACGTCAACATAAGAGTGAATTGACATTTTCAGCAAGGGTCCAAAGGAAGATGGTAATAGTTGGGGCAGTCCGAATTTCCATGGATGTCAATAAACCTCTGATACGAGGCGTAAATTTACCGAAAGAAGTTGTATCTGAATAGGCCATGAGTGTAAGATGAAGATGATAAGGTTTATATTGGGTTTTTTGCACTTTAGAGCAGATCACAAGAGAACCTCAAAGGAGGTAATTTTAATAGAAGCAAACTTATATAACACTCGTGCAGACAAACAATTAACTTGGGTACAAAATTATACCAAGTTCAGTAGCATCCATTTCTCTCCGGCTGTTGCAGAACAGTAACAAGCCCGTGGAGAGAACGAGACTATTACACTCGTTAGACCTTATAACATTGACTTATAAGGCGAAAAAATTTAAACCTCCTTACCAAATCATTCATTCCTCCCATTTTGTTGAGCAGCCACGTAGTTGCGAACGACTTCCATTGCTAATTGATGAGCATTCTTATTCTGAAGCCTTGCAAGGTTATCCATGGCCTCAAACGTATCCTTATCAGCAAAAAGCTTCAGATTGTATCGTGCTGGTGCAAGCACAGGACCATCCCATTTTTCAACCAGCTCTTTAAGTTTCTCAAATCCCTGAGCATTTAACCAAAACGACCACCGTTCACGAAGAGTTCTAGTAAGTCGAAAATAATTCGGTTTAAAATTTTAGACACTTTAGAAACAAACTCACCAAGCGGTTCGTGAAGTCTCCAAATGATTCTTTAGAGTGTCGTTTGCGCTTCCAATGATAAAATAAGGGTTCCAAGACTTTTTCAAGGTCATGGATCTTAACCTTATCCATAAAAGTCCTTGCCAATGACGTTTGATTGGGTTTTCCCCCAAGCCATAACTGTTACAAGGTAAGAGCACGCATATACGTGAAGAATTCACGAAGATATAAATTGAGTACGCATATTCAAAAGTTTCCACTTAGAACGGAGTAAAGCATCAGCTTGCAATTCATGATACCTGGTAGCTGTTTGGACCATCACCTACTAATCCAAGTTCAGCCATATAAGGCCTAGCACAACCATTTGGGCAACCAGTTATCCTAATAACAACGGATTCGCTGTACTTGAGACCAACCTGATAACAGGACAAGCATAGCCATTAGTGCCTAAATTCTCATGTATTTAATGTTCATATGTTCATGCACACAGAAACAAGCCCCCAAACAAGGATCAATCCCTTGGACTAGTCATTATAACCATCAGTTTTTTTTTTTATCAAACAAGAAGAGCATTAAGCACTATTGAAGAACTTCAGGGCACTAAAATAATAGATACAGGGAAAAAAATAAAGTTTTTCTTTTTTTTTTGGTGTAGTCGACAACATTAAAGAAATGACAAAAACATTACAAAAGAAAACGATTTTTTTAAAGAAAGAAAATTGTTTTAGAAAAAAGGAATCAAGCTATTTTCTTCCTAATTAAAGAAGGAAAAGTACAAATGCTTCAAAATCATGAGGGTACCTCGCCTCCCCTAAGGCAAGGCATTATCACACCCGGCATTGCAAACACAGGTAATCGTGTTTGCCCATCAATAATATACCTTTTCAAATACAGCTCGAACTCGCTTAAGGATGTCTGGAATTCCTCTCTCGGCTTCTGTTATTGCCAAAGGGCAAAGTGGCATAGCTGGACATGCCATCGCAGTTAAGTTCAGGGGATCTACATACCTTGGTTGCTGTAAAATCATAATTCAGTCAAAAAAAGTGCACATACAAAAGGAAAAAGAAGTTCCACCAAAAAAATGGAAAACAACTTCATAATTCTTCATAATTCTAACTTCCATGTTAATATAACACAAATCCATCCTAGCATAAACAGCTCAGCATCAATTGTGCATATTACAACAGAAATAGAAATTCTTGCCGAAAAGCTAGAACTATTCAATTTTAGGAAAGCCAATTGAGATGTTTGTGCTAAATTGAAACATGTAGGTTTATATTTTCAGAAAGAACTCAATCACCAAGTAGTGCCACAGAATAATAGTTTACCAGCAAACCACTTTGTGCAAGAACTGTAGTAATGGGACGCTTCCATGCATTGCGAATGTTGGTCAAGATGATGTTTTGATTTGGGGTGATACGAACATCCAAATTATATTTCTCTATCACCTCCCTCAATGTCTTCTTCATTTGCCCAGCAATACGACCACTATCAACATGTAGCCCACAATATAAGTGACCATCACCCTGAAAAGTAGCAAGATTCTCAGGCAAGGTGGACAATAAATGTTCAAGTCTATGAGACAAAAGCCAGACATCAAAGGAACTGTTCATTTGCTGATAGTTTATGGAGGCACTAAAGGAAAAAGATCATCATTATCGATTATTGTATTTAATTTCTTGCATATGATCGCCCTCCTTATCAACAGGCATGCCAAAAATGAAAATCAAATTCCTGGATAACATTTTTTATCACAGTATTTAAAATACAATTTCAATACAATAATGTTTCTAACTTTAATCGATGAATTTAATACATAAAGCTCGGGGGAAATGATATTTAGGTGGCATACATTTTCCAGAAGTATATACAACGTTCATGTTTGAAAGTAGAATGTGTCTAAAACAATTCAACATTCCATGTCTATAGCAAACTCTTATCAAACATTGCAGTGTGAATACTGTAGCCTGAATAAAAGAGATGACGTGAGGCTCCCCTCAGCATTTAAAAGAAGCAACAATTCAAATATTAGAGCTAACAAAATCAGATGTCGTACAGGGTTCAGAACTAACCTGCTCGTGCCACCCCAAGTAACTTTCAAACTTCCACTCTGGTAATTCCCTGAAAGGTTTAAATTTCTTCCCATAATATTGCTCCACAACACTCCTAAATTTTTCAATCCCCCAGGAACTGATCAAGTATTTTAGTCTACTATATTTGCGATCATCTCTTCTACCATTTTCACGTTGCGTGACAACAATAGCTTTAACTGCATATAGAATATCCTCCTTGGGAACGTATCCTAATGGCTCTCCCAAACGTGGAAAGGTGGTCTCTTGTCTATGAGTTCTTCCCATGCCCCCTCCAACCTGCAGAAGGAATTATTAAACAAAATGCTACTGGAACATGGGACATTTTATTCTCTAAAAAAATAATAACTTCAAATTCTGATATTTGTAGGTACTAAATCAACTTACATATATGTTGAACCCTTGAGGCTCCCCCTCAGCATCAGAAATGACGACAACACCAATATCGTTTGTGAGAATGTCTACAGAGTTGTCGACTGGAACAGTCACTGCAATTTTAAATTTTCTAGGGAGAAATTGAGTTCCATATATAGGCTCAGGAGAATCCTCAAAATTTGTTCCATTAGAATTGTCATTACGGGCCTCGACCACTTCTGGAGGTTCTGCCGACATGAATTTCTCCCCATCTACCCACATATCATAATAAAATCCTGATTGAGGAGTTAATAAAGCAGCAATGTTTTCGGCAGTTTGCTGGGCAAAAAGGTAATCTTTTCTCACAAGTGGGGCAGCAGGAGCAAGAACGTTCCTGTTAAGGTCACCACACGCACCAAGCGTTGAACCCATGCTCCGAATAATGGTGCTCATAACTGTCTTCAGATCCTTCTTGAGAACTCCATGTAGCTGAAATGTTTGTCTGGTGGTTAGACGAAGCGTCCCAATTCCAAAATGATCAGCAAGATCATCCATTGTCAAGTACAGCTGGTTTGACACTTTCCCACAAGGATTCTTGGTACGAAGCATGAACGAATAAGACCTCTGTCCTCGATCTTCTCTGTTATACTGCTGATAGCTCCCATGAAATTTGATCAATTGTGTGGCAGCCTCGTTTATGTTAGGGGCATCTGTCAACAACTCCTCATTAAGAGGGTATCTTATATAATTGCTATGTTCTTTGAAAATTTCAACCTTACTACGCTTCGGCTCAGCTGCAACACCAGGCTTTGCCGGCTGGAAAATTGGCCACAAATTTTACAGAAATATAAACCTATGTCAGTAAAAATTCAACTTACTAATCAAAAACATATCACCAGGTAACAAAAATCCATGCAGCAACAAGCATTACTTTCATAGTCTTCATGTTATTCCATGGAATGGGTGAACAATATAGACAAAAGAACTACACAAAATCACATTCTATTACAACAATTACAAAGATCAAAAGCAACAACAACCTCAGAGAGTGAAACGTAAAACAAGTAAAAGTGGTGATGGATCGTACCGTGGAGACGGCGCGGACGAGGAGAGGATAAGAAGAGGAGGAAGAAGGAGACGAAGAAGGGGCGAAGAAGCGGACATGTCTGGCCAAAGCGAGGGAGGTGGTGGATTTGAGGCCATGAAAGGTATGAATCTGGATGGTTGGGTCGATAAAGACGGCGGCGTTAGAGGCGCCGAACGACGTCGTCGTCATCGGAGGGAGGAGGTTGTGCCGCAGGAATTGAGTGAGTGAAGCAGAGAAGAAGAGAATCAGATTGGATGGCAATGGACGAGAGAGCAAAAAGCACCGAACAAAAATCTTTTTAAAAATGCCAAATTAAATGGTTTTAAAAAAATTAATAATAAAAAAACAAAAAGAGTCACGTGGCGCACACGCGTGGCCTTTGAAGCTCTTGAAGAGACACACGTCCACTCTCATTTCATTCACGCGCCTGGGAACTTATGGGATTTTTTTTTTTTTTATAAAAGTAAAATCTTAGTCATATTTTCGGATATTTAATTAAAATTTACTAACTTAATTTTAATACATATACCTCAAGAATTATCTCTGATTATTTATAAAATTATATATATATATATATATATAATTGTATAATATTTTAAAATTAACAATAAATTTATCAGTTTCCAAGATTATCTGAGTGAAAATAATAATGAAAATGGTCATTAGATTTTTTTTAATAATATATTGTTCTATTTTTCCATTACTACAAAAATAAATAATAAATGAAAAAATTAGTGGAACAAAGTAATCAAAAAGAAAGAGAAAAAAAAAAGACAATTTAATAAAACGATAAATTTAAGAGTATAAATTGAATTTTAAAAAATTATATAAAAAAAACTATATATAATGAGATTCTCGGCGGCGGCGCATTTGAATGTGATGTGAAATGTGAGCACGCGCGTTAAGGGGCGCGTGGAATGTTTGAATAGTACATTGAACTTGTACTTAGACCCAAGTAAACAGGTGAGTTTTTAGTAGAAATTTTAATGGAAAATGTAAATTATCACTAAAAAAATCTTTGACAATAATATTTTTAATATATATATATATATATGAAGAAAAAAAATCTCAAACAAATTGCCCGAGGAATTTTTGCAAAAATAAATGAGATATGGGAATTAAAATAAGAGGCGAAGACAGGGATGGAGACAGAGAAGGTTTCTCTGTCCCCGTCACACCCCTAAACCTGTTGCCTAGAAATTATATGTTTCCATAAAAATATAGGAGACGAGGATGGAGAAAGCTCCTCGGTCCATGTCCTACCCCTTAAACCTGCTGTCTGCAGAGAATTTGCGCAAAAATAGATGAGAAATGAGAATTAAAATAGGAGGCAGGGATGGGGTCGAGGGCGAGGACAAGGACAAGGACGGGGAAGGCTTCTCCATCCTCGTCCCGGCCCTAGAAAACACTATTCCCGAAAAAAAAAAGTTGTAGTAATTCAAAGGTAGAGATGAAAGAAAGATTTTGAAGCAAATTCATACATAAATTGCAAGAGTAAATGAAATCAATCACTTGTTGGCCTAACTGATTATATACACACAATAATCACACACCTTAGTGCTACCCTCCCAAAACAGACACACCCTTAAGAGGCCCTTTTAGACTCTCCTAATCCTCTGCCTATACCCCCACCAACATGTCTGTTCTACTTCTTCTACCATCTAAAACATCTTCAATCCATTCAAATCCACAATAACCTTCCTTCCAATGTTTATCATTCCTTTACCTTCAACGATCCATCTCTCATTAACTTCAAACTCAGACTGTTAAATCTTTCTCGTGAGTACTGTCTCGATGCTTTTCTCCAATCTGTACCCGCCTTCATCATTGCTGCAAACTCCTCGTAGCTTATTCGCCCGTCCTGAAGGAAAACGAAAACATTAAATGTGCACGGGAGGAAGAGCGACAATGTTGTTAGGTTATACATGGTGAAGTTATATATAAATTACATATAAAGTAAATGATAGTATACAGTATGCATATGGAAAACTATATTTGGTAAAGTTATTTATAGTACACTGAACATAGTTATATATATATATATATAATAGATGACTATATCGGGTAAAACTATAGAACTGAACCATATATATACCATTAGGCAGTGCTTTGAAAACACATGCTTTCTGCAGTATCTTACATCAACTAGAGAAGGGAACGAAACATTCTTTATAAGAGTGGAAATCTCTCCCTAGCAGACGCATTTTAAAACCTTAAGGGGAAGCCCAAAGCGGACAATATCTGCTAGCGGAGAGCTTGGGCAATTACCAATGGTATCAGAGTCAGACATCAGGCGGTGTGCCAACAAGGACGTCAGTCCCCAAAGGGGGGTGGATTGTGAGATCCCACATCTATTGGAGAGGGGAACGAGTGCTAGTGGATGTTGGGCCCTGAAGGGCATCGGTTGGAGAGGGGAAACGAAGCATTCTTTATAAGGATGTGCAAAGCTCTCCCTAGCAGACGCGTTTTAAAACCTTGAAGGGAAGCCCAAAGAGGACAATATCTACTAGCGGTGGGCTTGGGCGATTACACTTACATACTTGAAGTCATCAATATAAATCTCTAGCCCTCTCTCCTGTTTTTTGTGTTCATCTAGATCGAGTGTGTGTTGTTGTGTCATCCTAACAAATGTATCAAACAATACCCACGAGAGACGGTTTTGAAGTTTTCAAAGGTCTTGAGTTCAAGCTTCAACAGAAAACTTAACATTTCAAAACACTAGTTGTCTCTCAATGTCGGCCTTAGGGTCGGGTCGGGTCGGGTCAACATATATAGATATAGATATGAAATGATAAGTGATAAATGAAGCAAAACATTCTTATCCATCCTATCGGTATCGATTTTCAATTGTCATTATGATCCTCCAACCTTATAACAAATGCACAGAAACAAAGATAGCAATGATTTGAATGGGGTGTTTGAACCCTTCAGGTAATTTGGTTAAGGGTAGATCTTGTAAGAAACTAATACTCACCTTGTCCGTGTCCACGTCATGCATGATGGCGTTGATAACCTCCTCGCTGTTAGTCTCATCGCCGTCGTTAAGCGCGTTTCTAAGCTCTTCAATCTCTATGTAGTCACTCTGGTTTCGATCAAAGAATGAAAAAGCTTTGTGCAGGTGTTCGTCATTGGCCATCTTTCTAAGATGCACCGAAACCGCGACGAACTCTCCATAGTTCAATGTTCCATCACCATCAACATCAGCCTGTCAAGAATTTAACACTTTGCTTATTAACAATCATTTTACGTCGAGAAAAGTAAGAAAGTTCGAGCATAACGTTTAAACTAAGATGATGAATAATCGTGCTGAGCTCGAGGAGCAATCAGACCCAGATCTCTTGTAATGCTTACAGATTCTACGAGTATCTGAAGATCAGGGTCGGGAATCTGATGGCCAAGCTTTTTTAATCCAACACGAAGCTCCTCGAGATTTATCTTCCCTTTTTTGCCAGTATCCATTGTTTCGAATGCCTCCTTGATTCCAGCCACTTCCTCTACAGATAAATGCTCGGCAATAACCTAATATACAACATAATTCAAATCTTGAGACATCAAGCTTCATGGATATGAAATATTCAGAAAGAAGTTTCAGAACTATTGCAAAGAACTTCGTTCGAGATATTATTACCCGTAGAGCTCTTTTCTTCAGCTTGTTCATCACGGAAAACTGCTTTAGCCTTGCTTTCACGGTCTCGCCCAATGAAACGTTTGGAGCTTTTTTGGCGTTCTGTAACCATGGATGTTCTGCATATGAACAGAAGGGGAGATCATTTAGTAGTGAAGTACTCAATTGAAAACTCTACACAATCTTTAGTGACAGAATAAAACTAGTACCCAGCACTTCCTGAGCTGTGAGTCTCCTTTTGGGGTCAGGATCAAGCATTTTCCTCACAAGGTCCTTTGCGTTGTCAGATACTATAGGCCAAGGGTCCCTCTTAAAATCAATTACCGAGCGAATGATAGCCTGTGCAACTCCCTGTTCGGTTTCTGCTCACGAAATATGAAGAAAGTCAACCAGACATAAACGGATAAATGGACAAGAATTTTCATATATTGACGTTCTTATGATACGGATCATGATTGAACGAAAAACATAGGATTTTATTTGCTAGCTTTCCCTTTCGAGCTTCCTCTCAAGGTTTTTAAAACGCGTCTACTAGGGAGACGTTTCCACACCCTTATAAAGGATGCTTCGTTCTCCTCCCCAACCGATGTGGGATCTAGCAATCCACCCTTCCTTCGAGGCCCAGCATCCTCACTGGCACTCTTTCCCTTCTCCAATAGATGTGGGAACCCCTAATCCACCCCTCTTCGGTGCCAACGTCCTTTCTAGCACACCGCCTCGTCTCCACCCTCTTTACTGACACATCACCTAGTGTCTAGCTATGATACCATTTGTAACAGTCCAAGCCTACTGCTAGCAGATATTGTCCTCGTTGGGCTTTCCCTTTCGGGCTTCACCTCAAGGTTTTTAAAACATGTCTGCTAGGGAGAGGTTTTCACACCCTTATAAAGGATGTTTCGTTCTCCTCCTCAACCGGCGTGGAATCTCACGGTAAACATTAGTAGAATTCAAGCTGTTTTCCAACTTCATCCCCATGAAGCGAAGAACAAAACAAAGAAAATACATAGGTTATGAGAAACAAACCTGCCCAAAAAGGTGGGACACCACAAAGTAAAATATAGAGAATAACCCCAGCACTCCAAACATCAACCTCTGGACCATAGTTCCTTTTCAGGACCTCCGGAGCCATGTAATACGGACTTCCAACGATTTCATTAAACCGCTCACCTAAGGATTATATAGAGAAAAAAGGTGCATTACATGAAGAAATCATGTATAAGACACGTTAAAAGCAACCGTGCTGAATGGATCTAGTTTATTACCAGGTTTGAAGAACACCGATAACCCGAAATCAATTGCCTTTAACGGAGCTGTTTCCTTCTTGTTTCCAAAAAGGAAGTTCTCTGGCTTCAGATCACGATGCATAACACCGTGTTTATGACACATCTGCATAGCAAAACAGATACGACCATATGAGCAATCGTATTACTTCTCAATAAGCTCAACACAAATCGAAACATTGCCACCATCACTAACATGTTTCAACCAGAAAACGCAGTCAATCGACACAAGGATTTAAAAATCAGCAGCAACAACGTCGCTCTAAATACTAACTATAACTTCTTGGTTAAATTAAAATTTTAGTTACTAACAATCCTATTCGGGCCCAGCGTCCTTGCTGGCACACCACCTTATGTCCACCCCCTTCAAGGCTCAGCCTCCACGCTGGCATATCGCCCGGTGTCTGGCTCTAATACCATTTGTAACAGCTCAATCCCACCACTAGCAGATACTGTCCTCTTTGGGCTTTCCCTTTCGAGTTACCCTCAAGGTGTTTAAAACGCGTCTACTAGGGAGAGATTTCCACACCCTTATAAACAATGGTTTGTTCTCCTCCCCAACCGATGTGGGATCTCACAATGCCTATAAAGTTGACAACTCAATAAGATGAAGTGACGTCGTCTTTAAAACGGGTTTTGATACGTTGCTTTAGGAAGAGGGTATCCAACACATGTCCTTTTATCTTGTCTGGCTGTACATTCTCCACTTTTTTCTACCATCTATTCGACACAATGCTTAATATATTAGCGTTTAGTAAACGACTATAGAAACAAAATTTAAAGCTCACGACGTAAAGTAAAGCTTCTATCGAAGTTCAACGACTAAACTAGTAACTTAAACCTAAGTCATAATCAAATCAAACAGTCAAAAGAAGTTGTCATCAGAAACCATTAAAATTCGAAACAGCTCAAGCTCACCACGACACAGGCTTATCCAACAATAACAACACATAAACAAGAACACTTCACCTGAACAACTTCAACAATGGTTCGCATGACAGCAGCAGCAGCTCTCTCTGTGTAATGTCCCCTTGCAACAATCCTATCAAACAACTCCCCACCTTCACAAAGCTCCATCACAATATGAACAGCATGTTCATCCTCATAGGTATCTCTCAATGACACAATATTCGGATGCTTAGGCAAATTCTTCATAATCTCAACTTCCCTCCTCACATCCTCAATATCCACAGCCGTTCTAAGCTTCTTCTTCGATATCGATTTACAGGCAAGTTTCTCTCCAGTGGTTATATCAGTACACAAATAAGTTATCCCAAACTCACCTCTTCCAAGCTCACTTCCCAGATCGTATAAAGTATAAATGTCTCTACCCGTTGGATCTTTCAACACCCAGTTCCCACCGCCATTGCCATTGCTCACTACATGATCAGCTGCAAATGGGTTCGGCTTCTTGTTTTTCCCCTTGTGCTGCTTCCCTGAAGGAGTAGCCGGCGTAGCGCAGCAATTCCCCATGAATCAAATCAGATCCTTAAGCTTTCAAAGCGTCTGATTCTTTCAAGAGATTCTAACAACACCCACTAACGCAAAAAGGGGAAACAGATCTAAATGTTACAATAAGAACAGGGCAAGGATTAAGACAGAGAAGAAAGGGGAATCGAGATTTTAGAGAAGAACAATAAGAACAAACACAAATATCTTCCAGAATTATCCAAAAACAATACAGAAAAAGGTAAAAACCCCAAATAACAAGAGATTTTCTTAACGTTCGTTTGAAATACAACACAGAGCAAAGAAATCCCAAGAAGCTCACCTGAAATCCAAACAAAAATCTCCTCGAAAACCCCCAGAAATCGAAATGGGTCGTTCGGAATCTGATGAAGAACACAAAGGGAAAGGAAGATTGAGAGAGTTCTTCAAAGGGAGAGGTTAAGAAGGGGGGGGGGGGGGGG